TACTTTGGACATGTTGCAAGGAGAGACAGGTCTTTGGAGAGGGACATCATGCTGGGTAGAGTAGAGGGACAGCGCAGGAGGGGAAGACCCTCTATGAGATAGATTGATTCAGTGACTGGGGTAATCGGGATGGGTGTGTCAGAGGCAGTGCAATTGGCACAGGATAGACCAGGGTTTAGGGCTGTTGTACATAGGGTTGCTATGAGTCGCAAACGATTCGATGGCACATAACAACAACAACAACAACAACAACAACATGTTTTACTTATAGCCCTGTGTGATGTCTTATTCCTCTGGACTATGTACATCTGGGGTGATGATACTTAGCTGCAGATTGCTCATATAACTTAAAACATAAGTACCACCTTTGGAAGGGACATTTTAGTTTTAAAATTAATATTTTCATGAGGAAAGAGGAATAGGTATATTTGTGAACTGCTTTGAGTTTGCCAACATAAATAAAAACAAGTTAACTGAATTATCTTTCTCCATTTATTCCTTCTAGTTTAACATTGTATTTTTTTTAGTTGTTTGTTTTAGTTGTTTATTATCCTTGAACAGAGAGGTAACTTGTGGTCACTATGAAGCTGAACTCTGTGACACTGTTGTGTCAAATGTGATAACGGTTACCCATAGTGGAGAGTGTTTGGTGGCGCTCCCCGGTTGAAACAAGCTTAGAAGCAGGAGTGGCATCCACTTCCATAAATAGCTTGCCTCTGGAAACCCTATGAACCTGGAGAAAGCATGAAAGTCACGCACAGAAATGTCGAGGACTTTTGTTCATAGGGTTGCTATGAGTAGCCTACAACTGGACAACACTTAACAACACAGAGACCAGCCTACTGGACCAAAAGCAATGCTACCAAGCCAAAGGTGGGTGACTCTAATCCGTGGCCCTAAGGCCTGTTTTTCATTGGTTTTGTTCAAACATTCTTCTAGGTCATATAGCCCTGGTGTGTCCACTTGCTGTAGGTAACTTGTGGTTGCTGTGAAGCTGAAGACTGTTACACTGAAGTGTCAAATGCGATAACAGTTACCCATGGTGGACAGTGTTTGGTGGCGCTCCCCAGTTGAAACAAGCTTGAAAACAGGAGTGGCATTCACTTTCATAAATAGCTTGCCTCCGGAAACCCTATGAACCTGGAGAAAGGGTGAAAGTCACGCGTACAAGTGTCGAGGACTTTCGTTCTTGGGTCACTATGAGTTGCCTACGACTCAACGGTACTTAACAACAACAACATCCTTGAACAGAGTAAGGGAACAGTTTTTGGTTTAAAATCAAGACAGGTGAGTGTCAGGGTTGTATCATTTCTCCATACCTATTTAATCTGTATGCTGATCAGATGAGACGGTGGACTCTAGGATTCCACCCATCCATGTGGCAAAGTCAAAGTCATTGGCTAGGAAAATAATTTTTAACAAT